GACGTCGGTGCGTGCTCAATAATGTCAATCAAGTGTTGTTGACAATAATGTGGCTTCGAAAATATCCGTGCTTGACACACTTGCTCTCATTTTTGATATTAGCCCAWCAACYGTCAGTGCGACARTTCATAGAGTTATACCAATTTTATGGAGATATTTTCATAACCAGGTTGTTTGGCCAACAATTGCCGAGTGGAATGCACTTCGAGGAAACTGGAGAGAATTTCCGAATGCTGTTGGTTGTATAGATGGAACTCCGCGTGAGATATATAGGCCTGAGGTAGAACCACAATGGCAATTTTACAGTGGTCATCGACATTAYCATTTGATGAATACGCAATTGATCATTGACAATCTAGGGAACATTGTTTATTTACAAGCTGGTTTTTTGGGATCGACTAATGATGCAGGGAGCTTTAATCTAAGGGACCGGAGGGGGGGTGGAGGAAAAATGGCTTTTAGTCGAAAAAAATTTCAGAACCCCCCTTGATAGAATTAGTTTTTTTTCGGACCCCCCCTTTCCCATTGATGGTAAAAATTCAGGACCCCCCTCAACAAAAATGATTCAAATATTGGAAAATAATTTTTTTATTTTTCAACTGTGACTAGTGAGCAGCACTAAGGAGAACTCTTAGCTGTAAACGTTTTTAATTTCGTACTTGTTTCGTCTCTCTAACGTAGACCTCTTCAGGGAATAATTTTGTACAACTATCACCATGAGGTTGAGGATACTAGTGATGAGTTTATATACTTAGCAGCAACAGCAGACACAGAAGGACGTGGAGATAAGGACATTGCCAACCATATTCAGAAATCTCGTGGTGTGTTTAAAAGTAGTTTAGGGAGGGTCTGGTCAGTGAGAGGAATTGGAAGGAAGACGAAACTAAAAATGTTTGACTCGCTAGTTGAACCTGTTTTGTTATTATTTTATGGAAATTGACCAACGATGAGAAAAACTGGATCCTGAGGAGTAAATAATGTTAAATGGTGGGAGAAGATTTCAAATGAGAGGGTCAGGGAAGTGGGAGAAGGTGAGAACATTAGTAGTAAAATACGCCAAAGAAGATGGAAATGGATTGGGCATAGAGCAAGAAAATGACTGTTTGACAGCCTTGGGAGTGGACACCACCAAAGGGAATCAGTGCAAAGGGGAAACAAAAGATAACATGGAGGAGTACAGTACTAAAAGATCGGAACAGGGWAGGGTGRAGGAGCTGGGATGAAGCCAAAACAGCAGCAAGGGACAGAACTGGGTGGAAAAATTGAGTGCAGGCCTTACGCGCCTCCTGGCGAGAGAGAAAAATGATGATAGACCAGTAATATATAACATTTAAAAAGTGCTTTTTCATTTGAAAATGAATCACATGGTAGCCAGTTTAACTATTTATAAAAYAACACATTAGTCACAATGTTGTTATTCACGTTCCAATTTCAATCCCAAAGGTAGTCGTGGTCGCCTACAAGAGTGGTTGCCTACTATATTTGAAAAAATATTGATTTTGTGTACTCTCAAGACCCCCCTAAACTATGATTTTAAACATTCAAGACCCCCCTATTTTCCAATGAAGTTATTTCAGAGCCCCCCAATTTTTTCCTCCACCCCCCCTTTTTAATCGCAAGTTGTCAAAGTGTCGTATAATGGTCGAGCATACCATAAAACATGTCAAAACCTATCGAGCTATAAGCACTATCTGGCGCCATCCTCGCTKGTTTCAGCCCGTAGTAGTAGAACTTTGTACATTTTTGGCTCAGAGACATAAAATAACGAATAAAATGTTAACAATACAAACTTACAACAATTATTTGATAATTGGAACAGTACGCCCCATTAGCATACCATTAGCATATTTAGTGGGTATTGTTATCAAATAGTGAATCGGCCACTAATCAGTGTCCTTATGCGAAAGATGTCTATTACAATAAAAGAAAACAAAGTGTGTCAGGGGTGAATCCAGGGGGGTGGATTGGGTGGCCACCCCCCCTCTTTTATTTGAAAAAATATATAAAGGCTTTTAAGTTTAATTGAAAAAAAGTAATTAAATAACAGGATTATTGTATAACGGAAAATATGTATAATTACTTCAAAAAAATATAGAGTGAGAAGAACTGTTTGATGTAAATAATGTTTATACATTCATAAATATCTTTCATATAAAAGTTTGTTGATAAGTCTGAAATATTATAGGTGTGCCCAAGATAACGATAAATTCATATGGGCCTAAAGAGTCAAATTAATGGTAACGTACTGTAATATTAAATTTTAATGTTAGCCACCCCCCTCTGAAAAATCCTGTATCCGCCCCTGGGTGTAGAGTCGATTAGGATAGGAACTATTTCAAAGTTAAATGAAAATCATTTTATTCACGCTTAGACTATTTTTACTAATTACACTAAATTTCACAGTTTAAATTTAGTGTTGCACGGATAGATTGTTTTYACTCTAACGTTGTTCACTTAAAGAAATATTATAAAACAACAAAGTCATTTGCACAAAATTTGTTTTTCATTACAGTGAAGGTTTTGGATGTAAAATCTCTATAGATCGATATAGCTCGCAAATTAATGTATTGATTTTGTCATAGAGTTTTAAAACTYGAGGTCAATAAAAATATGATATCATATACTTTAACTGGACTTTTTTTACGACATTGCTGTCTATATGCTTAAGCAATTGTCAATAATTCTAATTTCAGAGTTTTATATTTCCCACTTCCTTTGTCATTTTCTTATTAAGCCAGTTCTGGATTATTAAATTTTTCTGTAGACGTCCCCTCAAATTAGGAACAACATAAAGTATGGACTATGTGGAATTAATCTTGAAGAAATAATCTCCTCTCGTAACAGCGTTCTTATTGCGTAGAGGAAAGGTTCTAAACTACCTTAAGAAGGCTCTTAATAGTTTTCAGTAGAGTGCACTAATTTATTTTGTTATCTTTTGAAATTCCAGGAAAGCTCTTATGAAAATTAATATAATTAAAACAGTAGACAAAGTAATTCTTCAACACATGCTTATAATTCCTATTTATAAAGCTTATCCATTTCTAGTTAATTTTCTTATTCGCTCTAATTAATATATCCACAATCCTGTRTTAAATTATAATGGATGTGTGCCAAGAAAATGCCAAAAGATCTACTTAACCATTAAATTGAAATGGAAACTGCACTGATTGAAATGGCGCGTTGATGTTCTCTTTTTAATAATGTATATTATATTTTCAAATACTATATATAATATATTATTTGAAATGTATAATGTATATGCTGCACTGGCTTATTACGAAAACCAAATTTTGCAATATTGTAAATATTTCAAATAACTGCCGTGGGTAAATAAAGATTTAATACAACATTACACTAATTACAAAAATGATCACAAGGAAGCAAACACACTAATTGTTAAGCGGCAATGACAGCTGGAGTTCATTAGTAAATTATAAAAAWTTTTTTTTTAAATGGTAAGAATCCAAATGAGCTCAAATGCAGTGATGCTTTTTGATCCTTGATAAAACATGTGAAAAATGTTTTTTTTGTGGAGCTTTTACATTTTAAAGCTAAAACCTATATTTCTTTGCTTTTTTTTTTTGACAAATGTTTTTTTTTATTTAAAGCCACCATTACTATATATTTTAATATTTGCTTTTCTATTTGCTTTAAGATGGATGTTGAAGCAGTGAAATTTGCTTCAGAGAAGCTGTTGACCGATTTGGGTTTAGAGGCAAAAGATGTCATCCTTGCTCTCCAATCATTCGCTAATAGAAATGAACCTGCAGGTAACTTTGAATATGAGGAGCGAAAACGAAAGCTGATAGATGAATTGAAAAAAGGAAGACAAAAAGGGAAGAAACAGAAAGTATCTGAAACAAACACTGAAGTCAAAATCAAAACAAGGAAAATACCACTGGGCTGGATGCACTGGAATACTGACAACCGTCCACACAAGTATGCCTCTGTTHGAAATGGCAATGGGGGTGGGTCAAGAAGGATCGACATGCCACTCAACAGCTCAAAAACTGATATCATAGATGATGCAAAAGCACTTTTTTCCCTGATGATATTTCACCACAAGGCAGCGCTGAAGATATGCAGTTTGACCTTGCAAATTTCAAAGGAGATGTAATTTCTTGTTCAATGAATGATGGTGAACCTTTTACACTACAAAGTTACATAGAAAAGCACAAGTTGACACATGTACGATTGTATCTTACTTCCAAGGACGATTCAATTCAATCATCTAGCGACAGAGAAGATGAAGAACATGAAGAAGAGGATGATGAAGAATCTCTCCTGAAACCAATGATCCACTTCAAACCAGCTAAGTCAGCATCAAACACTAGGTATAAATTCTAAGTTGTCTTAATACCAATAATATATATTAAATGACTACATTTCATAAAAAATGAACGGTCCCTTATGTCATCGGTAACGGCTATGCTAAATTTAGTTGGCGATACATGATATTTGTAAAAAAATGCCCTGTACTAAAATTGTTGTTATAATTGTTGTTATAGAGATCGTGGCAAAGAATGGAGAGCAAGTCTTCTCAATAGCCATAGTGAAACCAGGACGTCCTCTCCAGAAATTTTAGATTCTGATGATGACAACGATGATATCCACAACAGTAGTTACCCAAGCACTTGCACAAGCACCAGTAATCCTCTTAACACACAGCTCATTGGGTCGTCTGTTCAAAGAGCAGCATTAATAAAAGATCAGGATGATGCCCTCCAATGTTCTTTAGAAGCAGACTGTCAAAAAGAAGAAAGAAGGAAAAAAGAGGATGATGCATCGAGAAAAGTTGAAAACTTAGAAAGAAAACGAAAGTGTAGGTTATCCAGAGTTCCTCAAGAGCCAACTAGTAGTCATGATGGTCAAAATATTACAGTTGCAGTAAAGCATATCTTTAAAGGCAAAGTGACGCGCACATTTACCGATCAAGATAACATGAGAGATGTGTATAACTGGGTTGGTTCTCTTTCATCAGAGCCTGAATATTTCAGTAACGAGGGAGAATATAGTACGCGATTTATTGGATAAGTATAAAAGGATGGGTGACATGACAGACCGTCCAGTGTATGTGAACTTTGTAGGCGAAGCAGGTGTTGGAACTGGTGTATCCATCGAAGCTTATACCTTATTTTRGGATACCCTKWTAACTCAGAATTCTCAAGGAGACAGTGAATTTACTATCCCCATTGATCTTTCACTTAGTGAAGAAGATTATGTAAGTATGGGGAAGATAATCACTCATCAATTTATTCTATTCGGGACTTTCCCCATACGTATTAATCAAGCATCCATTCATCATATGCTATTCGGTGAAGCTGATAATAGCTGTAAAATCGATTCCTTCTTACGACTATTTCCACCAAAAGAAAGAGATTGCCTTTCCCGTGCTGTTTCCGGTCATATGCCGTTTCCTGTTGACGAGGTAGTCGAGATACTAGAAGATTTTAAAGGTATTCGTCAGATGCCATCACCAAGCAACATCAAAGAGATTTTGGTTCAAGTGGCTACCAATGAGCTGGTAGCCAAGCCCTATCTKCCCCTGACCAACATAAAGAAAGGATTAGGCGTGATATGGAAAGATGTTTCAAAGCAAGAGATAGGATCACTCTATGCTCTTAGTAGACCTACACCAGAGAGAGTGTTGGAAAGTCTAATCTTCTCTCCTTCTAGTGCCAAAGAGGAGCAGATATTCAGATGGCTTAAAAGATACATCAAAGGCTCAGATGATCGCTTTCTGTCGCAATTTCTCAGGTTCTGCACCGCTAGTGATGTCATTACAGAGGCAAAGATTTCATTGAGCATTGAGCTTTACCCGCCTACAATGGTACGACCCAAAGCTCAGACGTGCTTTAGGATGCTGACTATCCCAAGAAATTACGAGAATTTCACACAGATGAAGCAAAACCTGGACACGTATTTCAAGGACTCCACAATCTGGGATCTGGAAGATTTATAGAACTTTCCACAGATTGATTAAAAAGATTTAAGACTGATTTCCCTGCACACTTTAGGAAAGAAATAGTTGAGTTAATTTTTTCGTTTTCGTTTAATAACCAATCCAACGATATTTACGCGATCAAGAAAGTTAGTGATCTCGAATATTTTACCGTACCGTTTCATGCGTCATGCGAGAACAAACATGAGAAAGGTAGTGGGTTGTATTATTATGCACCTAATTATATACATGAAAAAATTACACAATTCTGATTGGCTGATAACATCTCAATTAATTCTTAATTCAGTGTAATTACATTTCTGCAGTGCAATTACAACATACTGAGCAGTGCAAAAGGCTGTAATATCAGTGCAATTACAAACAAATTTGCGCTTTTTATTGGCTAAGAAACAAAAGAAATGATTTCAGCCAATAAGAATCAAGCTTTCTTTGTAACTGAAAACTTTTCTCAAGAATCCAAGATGGCGGATACTTCGCCGATAACAGAGAAAAAAGTACTCAAAAACTATCAACAACTGCTTAAAAGAAATAACAAAAGCTTTCTCACTGAAGAATTGGACTAGGATTTGGTATTTGTGAAGTTTCAAGCTTGCCAGTTACCATTTTGAGACGATTTTGCATCGAAAATAGTCTCGCCTTCCTCACCCGTCCAGCTCGATGGAATTCAGTACAGTTTCAACGGGAAACCAGCTCAAATACTGGCTTTTTTCCACATTAGCCAGTAAAAGGTATTTTTCTGTTTAATTGACAATGTTTTTATTGTTCAAATTCAAATAAATTGCTTTAAATGGAGTAAATCATGTGTTTTTTATCAGTAAAAATGACAAAGATTGAACTTTGTTTTGCTTCAATTTTTTTGAATTCTTTTGTACAAAAGAAAGCCTAATATGCTATAAACTGGTGTTTTTTTGCTACAATCCTGGACAAAAAGGTTGAGAGTAACTGCACTCTTCAGGTCAGTTCAAGAAAACATCCCCTCTACCCCCTCCCCTCCCCCAAAACAATGTTGTTAGCACTCAAACAGAATCCAGCAGGTATGTGTGCTCTTTAAAGTACAACTTTGAGCGAAGGGGGGCGGGGGGAGGGCAGAAAAARAAWAWATATAKACGGAGACATTTTAACATTCTGCGATTTTTAAAACATTCTCAACTCTTTTTGTCCAGGATTGTAGCTCTGATAGTAAGACAAGTGTAATAATTGTTTGTCAAGAAGAAAATAAAAAGGCTTAGTATGCATTGATGATATTTTGCTTACATGTTGTTTTTGTCGTTGGCTCCTTGTCTAGCCTTGTCAGTTTTGGCTTCAATTTTTTCATGTATATTATTAATAGGTAATAAGATGGTTTCTCGTTCAATTTGGATTAATTTGCACTCGTTTGTTTTTCAAAGAGCCAAATTGCATTCAGCCTACGGCCTCACGCAATTATGGCCTCTTTGAAAAACAAACTCGTGCAAATTAATTCCAAATTGAACTCGAAACCATCTTATTACCTATACTTATACATTATATATATTGTTCAGATGAACAATGATGATTTATCAAGTAGAACAGCAGAGTAACAAACATACTGAACTATTTGGACAGATAATTAGTTTGCAATAGTTGAGTTGATTGGTTAAACACATTTCTGTGATTTTTTTAAGTGATTATATTCTTATAATAAACTATTAAATCTGTGTTTGTATTTTATAAAGGCAGTTTTGAAAAACGATTACATTATTACTAACATCAAGCATTATATCACAAAAAGATTACCGTCTTTTATACCACTACATACCGTAGTGCGTACCATAACGAGTCTATTCCTTTTCCTTTTATTTCGGAACGTTTTTATATTGACTTTTTACATAAGGAATAAAAAACGTTTGTATCTTTTTGATGACCAAAACTACATGCATGGCTATTTACGTCCGTGATTTTCATTGACCTTTTACATAGATAAGAAAACGTTTGTATCTTTTTGATGCTCAAAACTACATGCATGGCTATTTAAGTTCGTGATTTATTCAAAAGCTAGCCAACTGACCTCCTTCAATATTGTGATTTTAGTTGTTCTAGAGTTGACAAACCAGGACTCGCAGTATAAACATAATTTAGATCAGCGGTTAAATTCGCGCGGTAATTCACTTTCAACATGGAAAAAGACAAAATTGATGACGCAAGATTGAAAATACAGTTTCCTACACATACATGCATGTGCAGTTCGTCCCATTGGGGAACAACGTGGTTATCGTAATGTGCATGCTTCCCGGCGGTCATTGTTTGCACTAACATGTTTAATTGTAACATGCCCAGGCCCGTAGGCTTCATTACTAATGGGGGAGGGGGGGGGGAGTTCGTTTTTCATAATGTTAACATGAAAGCTCAATATACACAGGTATAGTGTGTAAGAACTGGCTGCTAAGAGTGAGTAGTTCATAACAAAATACTCATCATGTTCATGTTCACAAACAGTTCGTAACAAAATAATTTTAGAATAGATCAATAAAAAAGAGAAACACTGGACCTTTGAAGGATGTGGGGGGTTCGTCAAACCCCCCGAAGCCCCCCAGCCTACGGGCCTGATGCCTTAGGGCTTAAAAAACTTTTGGGTTAAAGAATTCAACATAAATTAATGACTTAAAAAACTTTTGGGTTAAAGAATTCAACATAAATTAACGACATCTAAACTCAACATTAAATACACCAATAACTTGCCTAAAAGACGTAATTGAATAGAAACAAGTCTGTACTATCATAAGTCCACTATATGACTGAATTTCTGGTACTGCAGAGTGTTTTAAAAAACATGATAGATTTTACGTCTGGTGTAAATATTTCATTCTTATAAGCAAACCAACTTCGTTATTATTTCATATAGTTTGCTGTACATACACACTAAATAATGTTTTTAAGGATACTAATCATATCAATGTAGAGGCACTCGGCTTCACTGACATCACTTCCCATCTGAAGACCGTTTTCTACCATTATTAAATGAGCCAACTCCTCAAAGGTTTGTGTGTAATCATCGACAGAATCTCACAGCAAATATCGTTTGTTACATCCATGTCTTTCTGACAAACTGGCTTAAGATAAGACCTTGTGTTAAATACCTCTGGGATGAAGTTGTTAATATCCGGGCGTCCAGGTGGAGARTGTTCATTCGAAGAAGGGCGTATTTTATGTAAATTCCAATGTTTTGCAACTCGATGCAATTCATCTCTCAGTAAAGGCATGTAACAAAACTTCAAACATTCAACATGAATTGTGTCGGTCTCGTCATACAATGTAACAAAACTTCAAACATTCAACATGAATTGTGTCGGTCTCGTCATACAGACCTTGATCTAGTAAGTCTTTAAAGTAATTCATCCAAAAGTCAGTTTCAGATTTCCTTAAAAATGTCCACCATCCTTCAATTCGTTGATTTGACGTGGATTTTCCGTACAAAAAGCTTTTCTATGCAGCAAACTCATCATTTGCATCACGTCTAAAGAATCGCTGCATAGCTGCATATGTATTTTCCTATCGTTGCTGGCATGACTAACAAGTCATGCCTCATTGCATGAGTTTGTGCAGCTTCGCTTGTATTACTAGTCCCACAGGACTATATCTAGATAAGCAATTGGTAATTTATGCAATGGTATATAAAGGTTTTCAAGGATAAAATTCATTCTCCACGTTTCAGTACAAGTATCGAGTGTTACGAGAAATATACTGTTGCTTAAATCTTGTTTCGTATAAGAGAGAATATGTCTCTTGGTAGCAAATTTTCGGAGGTTCGCGATAACACGTCGAGACGAGAAGAAACAAATGAGGACAAGAGGTTAGAAGGTGTTGGGACCGGTCCATCTGCAAGTGTGTCTTTTTCGCCTACGGCAAATGATATGGCCCTGGCAAAGCAGTTGAAGAGAGAGACGGAAGCCCAGAAGCTAAAATACAAATCTAATGCGAAGCAATTCTTGCACAACGCCGAAGTTGAGGAGAAAGTGGCTGGAGTTGTCCAAGCAATTCACGAGAATGACCAGGACACGGCATACGAAAATGCCCAAGAAGCTCTAAAGCTGATCCAGAAGAGGCAGAAGTTGATTAAGTTGGCTGGCAAGAGTGAAGGGGGTTGGCTGGTGGTCCAAGAATATGAGAACGATGAGCTGGCCGACAATTCTGAGAACGAAAAGAAAATAAAGAAGGCCCAAGAAAAAGGCTCTAAAAAACGCAAGCTCCAAATCCAAGCCAAGGCCGCTAAAAGGCCATGTGCCATGAGCCACACCTCGGCGACTATTACAAGGCCAGAAGATAGGCAGCTTTTTCGAGGTAATATGATTAAGTACATAACCTTTATATAATGAGTATACGCTAATCTTTTGTGGAAGATCGATTCACGTCATTATACCTTGCTTTCTTTGTAGTATCCAGGCTTGTTCAACTGAAACAAGCCTAGCCTTTAATCTGTGTTTGAGTATTTGTTTAAGGGGAAGTAGGAATGGAAGGAGAGTAGGAAAATATTTTTCGTGCATACGAATGGAATGAGGGAGAACGAAATAACATTTTCTGTGCCAGCATCACTGTGAACTCTTTAGGGTACCCCACCAACTTGTCTGATACAGTCATAGAAATTTGTAGCTACAATTTTAGGATTATTGTTTGAGTGACCTACTTCAAGCCACAAAATTCTGCGGCTAAAACCGTCTATTGCTCCATGGATACAGAACCCATAGGGCTTCAATTTATCATACCCGTCCATATGCCAAACATAGTTTGGACCTTTAGCAAAATATTTTCGTCTCTTTAATTTATGACGAGAACGGAGAGATACACCTTCTGGATCAAGAAATGACAAAGCTRTACGGACCGATTCCTTGYTTGTGACAATACCATGATCAAGCCGAAGCCTCTGATGCATCTGTCTATATCCCAATAGGCCACCAGATTTTCTTATTTCCTTCTCAACTGCTTCAACTATTTCATAAGGGGTGCTCTGGTTCTTACGTCTCCTTAATCMCTTTCTTGMCAGAATTCGTTTCAGTTGACGAAGACTTAGAGTGATGCCATGGAAGAGGAGTAGATATATCAAAATCTCAGAGTATTCCAAACCAAGTTGAAAATACTGTTCAATAATAGCATTTCTGTCGCCTTGTGTGTTTTGTAATACCGGAAGATAAGGAGGAAGGACGCAGTAACCCCAAGGAAGCACAACAATAAACCAAAGAACGAGTAGCATAAC